GTCAAAGCTTAAAAAAAATCCGAGTTTTCTATGGGTGCAACATGAGCCCAAACCAGAATCACCCAACTTCCTGCAGGTTTTGCCTGATGTTTATCTCATTCATCTCCTCAGCCACGGGGACTGACCCCAAGAAAAGCTTTAAGTTCTGGAAGTAGCTCCTGTGTTGTGATTTTAAGCCCTGTGAAAACATCGATGCACATCTTTCAACCCAGACTAAAACTGTAACTGCTCCTTTTTTCATTCTTGTTTCATTTCTGTCATGCTTCCTCTTGTCTGCTCGGAAGTCAGTTTGTCGTCAGATGCTTCCCTAAATGGGCCTCTCAGGCCCACCACAGAGACACCAGCTCCTTCTGTTTGCAGGTTCCCAGCTCAAAACCAGCAAAGATTTAAGAGCTAAAAAAAGCTTACAAGCAATTTTTTCTTCCCACACAAACACTTCTGATACCCTGAAAGGTACCTGTTATTTCCTGAAGTAACTGTGCAACCGTAATACTTCGAGTCAGTCAGACCTCCTGCACAGTGTGTAAGAAACAAGGGAGAAACAAAGGGATATATATTATGTCCCACATCTGAAAATGAACTTCACAAAAAATATGCCCTAAATGATACATGATAATGGGGAAGGAAACGCCAACTGCCTTAATGAACGGTGGTAGGCAAAGCTGGAAAAATAAATTATATAATAATCTCTTATTATATTCCCTTTGACATAAACTAATCTTGACCCAGAACAATAATGCTACTTTCCAAGAGAAAATAACCAAGATGGAGCTATAATCATGATACGGGTGTCCAATGCAAAGTGGTTTGTATTTTCTCTTTGTTGTTAAAATTTTGCTTCATCTGGTAAATTTTGTGGAAAAGACGGGAACAGGGTGAGCCAGAAAGAAACGTCAATTGCTGCCTCTTGGTGGCTGGGAACAAGCTGCTGAACTTCAACCCAGCCTAGGGGCCTTCTGAAGACCCCAGGAGCATGTACAATGCTCTGGGAGAGCGGGAGGGTACCTGTGTTTCACTTCAGCTCCCAACTCACCGAACAGCCCAGGATGCAGCCAGACACTTACTTTTGGACTGGTGGGCACTTTCATCCATTCACTAGGGATGACCCAAGGGTTGGGTCTGCCTTCCTGCTGTGAGGATGCACGTGTTAATATTTTTGTTGGGTTTCTGAGGGGCTGGCTTGCTTTTGCATTGCTCAGCTCTGCAATAGCATAAATAAAAAAAACCCCAAAAACAACAAAACAAAACAAATGGAAATCCTTGGGAAACCTCCTTGTCTAGAAAGAGCAGAAGGGTGAGGAAGGTTCTCCCTCCTACGTACCCAAAGTTGCTGTATATCAGTGTACTGTAAGAGCCTTTCCTAGCTCCTCTCCTAGGCAGGGAGGATGTAAGAACTGGCTCTACCAAGACTGCAGTCAGGCCCCACCTAAGTGATAGTTACAGAAGTCTGCACATTTTAGGTGCTTGTGTATCCCTTCTACACCTCTGTCCGTCCCTGTCTTATCCACCTGGTGCTATCAAAGACCTTCCACCGGGCGAGGAGGTTGCAGGTTGTGTGCAAGCTCTGATGCACCAGCCATGCAGAAGTGTCTATGTCTGTGAGCAGGGCTTTGGCTCATTCCTCCAAACAAATGGAGTTCATGTGAAGAAGCATCCACAGAATGTATTTATAACTGCGAGGGTTTGCCTGTGATTTGACACCTTTTAAAGTCAAAAGACTACTCTGCACCTTATAAATCTTTCCATGACCTCTTAGGGCATGAGATACAGAAGCTTAAAAGTGTGGCTGAAGGAGAGAAAAGTAAAACGTGCTCTCACAAGGTGTGTGGTAGAGACATGTTCTTTATTTCTGTGTCTTTATTCATAAAAATGCAACGCACGCTTTACTATACATTATTATACATAGTTTCTCTACTGTGATAAATGAAATTAAAATATCAAACGGAGAAACCCCCCAAAAAAGCCAGACTGGTTGAGACCAGTGGTTCAACCAGTATCCTGTCTCCAGCACTGGCTGGTATCAGATGCTGTAGATAAAAGTAGAAGAAACTGTATAGTAGCCTGTTACGAATTAACATGCCCAGGAGAGAAGTTTCTTCCTGACCCTCATCAGTTAGTGGTTGACTTACATGCCAAAGCATACATTTCTATACATGCTCACGTATTTATCTCTATCTGTACCAAGAAACACGTGACAAAATGCTAAATCAGACTCCTGGTACTTTCACTTGCAGGAAAGTCATTCCGAGGAAAGAATTTTCTTCACTGCAAGAGGCTCACACTGTACCTAACTGGGAGGGGGAAAGGCAGCTGAGATTCACAGCTTAATAAGGGAAACTACTTTTACAAAAAGCACCTGAAATACACACCTTTTGAAGCTATTTTGGGGATTTTGATTGCATATCTCTGTAGTATCTCATCTCTCTGAGTGGCTTTACATACATGATTAAGTAAATACTCACATGTGTGTTAAGTACTTATAAAGTGACCAGTTAAGCAGATTTCGTGTTAAGACATTCCCCTTTTCTGAAAATCATAGGATCACAGAAAAACAGGGTTGGAAAGTTCAAGGCAAGGCTGACCATTTTGTGTCCCCCCTGACAGCTGTTTCCTCCAACAGGCTCCCAAGAGCTGCCACCACAGAGGTTTCACACCCCACAGATCTGTCTGTGCTTTGCCTTCTTTACAACAGTGTTTTCTAATTAAATTCAATCTTTTTGGCTTCGGTTTAAGCCCCTGTTTTCCTGTCCTACCCACCAGATACAGGAACAGATTATCCCTCTCTCCTGACTTGCAGTTTTTGTGTTTGAGAACTGTTTCTTTGTTTCCTAAACCCTTTTTTGGACTGAAACACCTTCAATTACTTCCCTACTTCCTCACTGACATGTTTTCTAGATCTCTGGATTCTCTTCAAATTGTTCCATGTCTTTCCCAAAGCGTGGTGCCCAACATCAAATAAAGCAACCCAGCCAAGATCTTCCAAAGACAGAGGAGTGTGGAAGGATTACTTCACAGGTCTTGAAGGTTATAGTCTATTTTATACAATCCAGATGGTGATTTTTCCAGTGCCCCATAAGTACTGAGACCCTTATACATTTTCCTACATTGCTTCCCACTTTTTAGACTATTTCCCCCATGTCTGTCAGTGCTAACTTCTAGGATACAATAAGACATTTTCTACTGCAGTTATAGATGGATGCTGCTGATGATTCAGCATACAAAATCGTCTAATTACTGAGCTTTGGAATAATCACCTCCCCCTAGGCTTGTTAATATGCTTGGTTTTACCTAAAGGGATCACATATATCCAAAGACATGTGCTAGCAAAACAGAAGTGCAAGACACATTAAAATAATGCAGCAATACTACTGTATGGTGTAAATTTCAGGGAAAAAAAAAAAAAGTCAGCATGCTATTTTTCTTCGTTAAATGTGATGAGCTCATAAACAGTTAGTCAAGATGATGTGAATGACTCGTCAGACCTAATTTTAGCAGCCTAAAGTTAGCCAGCAGTTCCACAATAGTCATCTCATCTCCTTCAACAATAAACGGAGAGGGATGAACATTTCCAGGATCAACGCATCCTATTGCCTTCAGCTCCCTAAAAAGCCAGAGCAAGATGGGATGAACTCCCCTGTGAAGACAGAAGAACAGTTCCAGTAACCACAGAGAGCCCCGAAGAGCAGACAATTTCTTGATGGCTGAGGTCAGGTGAGATAAATCCCGTTTCAGGCACAAATTCAGAGATAATTATTTTTACATTAGCATGATAATTAAATACAATGCAAATTAACGGTGATCATCAGGGAAAAGAAGCATGATGAGATATTATGAATATTATGATATTATGATGAGCTTATTGAATAATTAGAGAGATGTGTAGAACATGGAACTTCCATGTCAGAGACAACTTCAAATCATTAACATTCTCCTTTTTTCCAAATGGAGCTGACAGCTGAGTATGCTGAATTTCCCTGTGAAGGATCATTTTTACACAGTCGTTTCAGATGAATAGAAATATTTCATTTTGACAAAATCACACTGTTTGGTCTCCACATGGATCTTTGTCTTTTTAAAGAGGCATGATCCACTGAAAAGCAAAGCAGGACTGACATTCTGAAACGAAAGACGTTTTGATTTAAAATATTGCACAGCTCACTCTAAAAACATGATCTTCTCTGTGAGGCTCAACCTGATTTTGCTGATTTCGATTTCAAACTTGAGGTCTCGTTTTGATTTCTGACAGTGCAAATGGGCACTGGCCAGCCCTCCTGGCCCTCAGAGCCACGGAACAGAACCTTCAGGCAGCCCCGAGCCAGCGGACACACCGCACACCTCAAGCTGCTGAGGGAGTGGAAGTTCTGGGAATGGCTCACGACTCGGAAATGAGAAAATCTCACCAGGATCCTACTATGGATCCCACAGGACTAGGCAGAGCATAAGCAGGTTTCCAAAGCTCCCCAGTAATACTGGGTTCAGTTACTTTTCCCAGTTCTCCTACCAAGAACAGCCCTATAGATTCACCAAGGGGCTTCATTCGAACTGCTGGAGAGGTGCAATGGGAACCAAAGCACGATCGTTGCTCAGTGTCAGGGCCTCCTAGATGGACTGGGAGCTGGCCTTCCAAATAAATTAGGCAGCTTTGAAAAATCTGACCTAGAGAGCACACCACATTTTTTTCGTTCCCTGCCTAGAGCATTATCTGTCTCTGGGTACGTGCAGCATTTGTCCCTGTGGGTAATAAAGGTTAAGTTTGTTTAAGTACAGTAGCTGTCTAGTCAACCCAAATGTAAGCTGTTTTCTTGTGCCAACGCTAGTGTTACTGATACCCATGCTAACCAGTATGAAGCTCCTTCTAGCAGCTCAGCAATGTGTTACAACGTGGGCATGCTGTCAGCAAGGTTTATAATATAAACACTTGTGCACATGAGTTCTTTGTTTATATTCTCAAAGCTATGCTGGGAGAACTTGTTGGAAGTGACTTCAATTGCAGCAAAAAGCTATATTTGGGACTCTATTGATAGTCTGCTTAAGGTCACAGCTGCTTTCTGATAAGAAACTTCTCCAGAAGGCCGACTGACAGCTGTCACTGGGTCTTCTGGATCTTCACAACTGGTGATAAGAGCAACTGCGCTAAATGACTCTTGGTTAGCACTAAATGGCTTGATCTCCAGTGCTGATGTCTCTGTTTCTTTTTCCCGTGTCTTTTCCATTCTGTTCCATTCTTGCTCCTTCCGATCCAGTTGCATGGCGCTGCAGTGAGGAGCATAAACTTCTGTGGTTTCTTCAAACTGTAAGCAATCCACCTTATAGTATTTTTTCTTTACATGTAAGACATCGTTAAACCTATGGCCCCAAAGAATCTCTCTGGGGACATATGAGCTTCTTGACTGATGTGAATTTCCTGTAGAATCACCCGTGTAGACAAATGTGACCAAGATTTCAAAGTTGTCCTTGGCCAGAGCTTTCCGGTCTAGGCCATACAAGGGGCTCTCGCTATCGATTTCATGCACGACTGTCACTGGCGTAATAAGTATGATCTGGTCATTGAGCAACTTCAAGTCCTTGTATTCCATCGTCATCCTGCCTTCCTTGTCCTCCTTGTAGCGCAGAAGCTGAGCTCGTACAGAGCCCTCAACCATGTGGTTTGGCCGGAAATCACCGATGCGCCACATGAGGCAAAATTTATCATCCCTTAAGCCTACCACAGCGTAGTAGCTGAAACGGATAGTTTGAGCTCTTTTTCGAGCTGTGGCCATTTTAGCCAAGGCTGCTCCGATTATGAAGGTGTCGATGATGCAGCTTAATACTTTCTGTAGGATGACCATGAGGATTGCAACAGAGCACTCTTCTGTAACACAGCGGTAACCATAACCGATGGTTGTTTGGGTTTCAAGGGAGAACAGGAACGCTCCCGTGAAGCTGTGGACATTGTCAACACAGGAGGTTATTTCTTCATCGTTGAGTAAATCTCCGTGTTGCATTGCTATCAGCCAGAAGACTAGTCCAAAGAACAACCATGAAAGAACATAGGACAATGAGACTATCACAAACATATGGCGCCACTTGATGTCCACCAGTGTGGTAAATATGTCCACTACGTAGCTTTCCCATTCCCCAAAGATGTGTTTGAAGTACACGTTGCAGCTGCCATCCTTGTGGAGAAATCGCTTCTGCAATCTTTTCGTCTCCTTCTCAGGGCTTTCTTGACGAGCACCTTGGTAACTGATCTTACTTCCCTGTATGTTTACAGGCCTATAGCAAACACTCTGGTCAGGCATCTTTCTCATATCTGCCTCGTGGCATCAGTTTACAGAACACCCGTGGTCCCAGGGGCTATTTGTTTTCTTTGTTCATTGGAAATCTATGAAATAAAACAAAAAGTTTATTTTTGTTTTAATTTCCTATGACAGAACTCTGTAACACGAAATCTAAATACATTCACTCTGTGACCACCACGAGCGATTTTCTGAAGAGTACAGACTCTGACATTCATTACACACCATAACTCAAAACCTTAGGCCTGGAAATATGAGGCAGTTGGAAATTCAACCAGTTAGAAATGTCCACATCAATCCTAAAATTTGCTATGTAAATGAAAACAGAAATAAAAAAACCTTTGCAGTGACCCCACTGTGAGTATCTCTTCTAATGGTCTGGTGAAGTAACGGTCAAATCAGGATGGGCTGTCATGAACAGTCACAGGAATGGCATGAACCCACTTAAAGTTAGTTCATTATTTGTTGCATGCTCATTTGTTTTCCTCCAGTAGAAGAAACGCCTAAGAAAACACCCTCTTTTAGACATCAGACTTCAGTAGCATGGGCAGGCAAGTTGAGTACTAATGTGTTTTACCCAGAAAATGTATCAACCACACAGTCATTCATCATTACTTGTGTTTCAGTATTGCCCAGAAAAACCTGGTCATGGAATTGAACTTTACCGGGCTAGTGCTACAGACACATATTTGTCCAATTTGTAGAAAAGTATTTACATTTTAAATGAAAAAGAAACCTCTCTGAGGTCCTGGAAACCCTCACAAATCATTCCTTAAACCAAACCAAAACAAAAAAAATCTGGTGGCCAACAAGTATTTAAATTTTTATTAATGAGTTTGAAACAAACATGCAGTATGTTAATAAAGTTTCTGGATGACAAAAATTTAGGAAGTGATGTGAATTCCTCTGTCGGATCAGAGAAGAAATGGATGTCTTTGCAGATTGCAACCATATGGACTTCCGCAGTCCGAAGCGCTAGGCTATACGTTTAGTGACTAATAACAAGAACTTATGGTAGAAACTGAGACTCATCAACTGGAATCCAATAAAAAAGGAAAGACTTAGCTGAAGTAATCAGTTACAGGATGCTTATGAATTACTTGTAAGGATACTGTGCTGAAAAAATCAAATGCATTTTCCTGCAGGTCTCCAGCTCATTTCACCATATCCCAACCGCTAACGCACAAAACACCAACAAGTCAGAAGTGCTAGGGTACAGTTTTACACAATTAACATCAGATGCAACTGATATTTCTGAAAAAAAAAGAAAAAAAAAGCTAATATTTTTTAGGATAACCTGTCATTATTCTTCCAAAAATTCTAAGTTTTCAATGGAAAAATGACAGTTCCCATTTTTGAGCTTGTTTCAGCTGACAAAAGTTCAGATGTAGGTTTACAATAAAGCCAACATATTCATGGAAAACGAATTTTAAAAGATGTTTCCTTGCAGTAGTCTTGTTCCTCAGCTCTTCATTCACTTTGCCTGAGTATAAATGACTTCACACACTTCAAGGCAGAAGAGAGTCAGGCCCATGGAGTGTAATATATATTGGATGGACTAGATTAACAGACCGAGAACTCTTCTCCCATCCAAGGAACAATGACAAGCATGCACAGACACTATTCCAAAAACACTTAAAAGCCAAACATAGTTTCCATTTCTTTTTTCTTTTCTTTTCTTTTTTTTTTTTTTCAATACAGAAATGAATGTGACATATGGTGTCGTAGCTTCAGAATGTGGCCTTCATTAAAAAACACAACATTAATGTTTCCAAAAATATTTCTTGGAATAGAGTCTTTGGAAACATTCATATGACTTGCTTTACTCATAGCTTTAAACAAACAGGGTAGCCTAGTCTATTGAAGACTCTTGACCTAACATTTTATAAGTCATATTTAACAACAAACAAAAACTGGAAACCATTGAGTTGTTTTTTAAGAACCTCATAATGTGAGGTGTGAAAATGAAGCAAATTGTAATCAGGAGCCAACATAATCTTAAATAAAAAACATACTTAGGCTTATACTGGTTTTCTTATTGACTGATTCAAACTAGAGTTCCTTGAAAATACTCACAAACATCCTCAGGCTCTAAAAGAGACTAAAGAGTTCATGAATCAAAGACTACTGAGTTGACTCCACTCTCTGCTGTTGCCGTCAGCAAAACATCATATTTCCAAAATGGTGTTTTGTTGGCAAAATCTTTAGATTCTGCTGGTGCTGGCAAGAATCATGGACTGTCACACATGCAGCTATGTGGCAAAGTCCGCTCTGATTTTACGGTAGTCTGTCACACACAGAGGAGATAACTTTGAGTATGAGGCATCTTGCTTTAGGAACTCTGACCCTACTTAGGGTCTCTCCTAAGTACAGCTTGTGGTAGTATATACATGCTCATGAATGTCTGTGATGGGTTTTTGACTGGTATAAATGAAGCCATGTAGTAAGATGCTACACTGGATTTCACAAAACAATCAAAAGTCTGTCTGTAATAAGAAAGAGAACGTGTTGCAGAGCTTCCTAAACCAGAACCAAATAATCTAGCCCTGAAGCTGGATGGAGTAAAGAAGAATCAGTGCAGAGCAACACGAACATATATTGCTCTCAGAATTTGAGTTAATCTTTCTCCATCGTGTTGAAAATCGGATTGCTCAGAGCCATTTGGCATTGCACAGTGGAGACGTGCCCCAGATGACCTAAAATCCCAAATGTGCTTGGCAGTCTTAGGAAATAGCCTCCTCAGCCACTCAAAAACATCTAAAAGTGCTGCCCAGTATTTTGGGTGTGCTTAAAGTTAAGCCAAATATGAACTTTTCCAGGCTACCTCTTCAAATCTCAGGAGTGTAATAATAATCACGCATCATAATTAATAACTCTTTTCATTGTCTGATGTTGCTCAGAACATTTAAGTCTAAAAAACCATCCTTCAATGTTTCTGAATTATGTAAGTCTGTATTACGGTTTGTGCTTCATTCATGGGGACACTTTTCAACAGCCACGTGATTTTCCTATTCCAAATGGGAGGCAGTAAGGCTGTGAAGCCAGATGTTCATCACTCACTCTACTGAGACACGCTGCCTTTTGCAGAACAGTCTGACCACTGTTATTATTACCAAATTTTAAAGGGGAGAAGACCACAGACTTCCAACCAGACTTGTGAACTCTAAATCTTAGAGCCGTTTCAAAAAATCTTATTTTTCAAAACAGAGATATTTTACACATCCCTAAGAAAGCCATATGAATCCCATTAACGGTCCTACTACCTGGTAAGGATTAGCAAAGGGAGTGGGGGAGGATTTAAAAACATTCTCTACTCACTAAAGCTCATGGATTGGTTGCTGCAAATGATTCTCAGATGTTGCCAGGAAGTGTTTTCACCTTCCTCGAACACTAACACACAAACCCTCGCCCTTTTTTGTCTCGCTTTTACTTTCTGTAGGCTTTTTTTTCTGGGCATGTTTGTACACGTCATGAGCCTCCTCTTGCATACTGACTCCTGTTCGGAGGAGGAAGCGTGCTGAAATTCGCAGTACTTCTGCTAACCGTTTTTATAAACATATTTCCCCTCCAAATAAAAACTTATCAGAGACAAAAATGGGGCAGCGAAGCTAGGCAGGATAGTAGTAAGACAGAAATAGAGAAATGTCAAAGATTTCATTAGGGTAAATGGCAGAGACCGTTCAGAAGTTCTTCTAAAGCATGTATGTATCAGACTCGGAGTTCAGAAAATCAGCATATATTCTTAATTATCTAAGCCAAGGCTAGGATCTTAGTGTGTTGGATACTGAAACATGCTCAGGGAGATACAGAACTGCTCCAGAGGCCTGTGTTCATGGGGTCTGCATACTGACCCCCCCCCAAACTGGTATCTTTGAAAATTTCCCCCCAATTAGATATGGGAGAAAAGTAAGTAAATGTCTGTATTCCAAAGGTCACAAAGTGCAGTGGCAGAACTAGAACAACCCAATACCTGCTTACACTCAGTGAAGAGCTACCACAAAGCAAACACTAGCAGAAGCAAGCCTTTTTATCATATTTATCATCTTCATCTCCTGAATAGAGCAGCTGTACCAGAAGAACTTGAACTCTTGATTTTCATCAACTCGCTCAGAACAGTGACTTAAAAGCCTTAAGCATCGAGTTTAGCCTTTTAAAGACTTCCACTAAATGTAGCTGTCAATTTAATCTAGATATTTTGAGTTTAGGGCTCAGTGTTTTATAAGGATAATTCCTATATTGAACCTTAACCTAATACCTAACAAGTTGTTGCTACACCCATTTTATGACTATATTTTCCCATTATGTAAACAAGTGAGGGTGAATTTTTGTTCAGTGACAACTTCAGTCAACGGTCTGGTTGTAAAACATTAAGCAAAACAATGTGAAGATCTTGGTTCCAGAATAATTCTGTTCTGAGATTAAATCAAAAAGAAAACAACTCGAAACCTCCAAGTGAAATTGGGTACTCTCACTCTAACCCCCCCCACAGGGAAGTGGATCCCTCTCTCCAGCGTTGGTTTGACAATCACCTCAGTTTCCTGCTTCATTTTGGAAATGGTCTGAAAGGTTTCCAGTTTTCGTCATTGTTGTGTAACCCTGGAAGACTTTCAGCTCAGTGACCAGAAATGTGACAAGTAGAAACCTTCTGAGCTGCTTTGGAATTGACTCAAATACTTATTCCTTTTAAAAAAACACACCACCCACAAAATCTAAATAAATCTATTCTAGTATGGCATTGAAACTCTTCCTTCCTTCTTCCTTCTTTCTTCCTTCCTTCCTTCCTTTCACTCTTCTTCTTTGCAAAGGGACCCAACTTCTCCTAATGCCTACAGCCAGTCTTTCTGCTTCTGCTACGTAATGCCCAGGGCAGGGCTGGCACACACCATGATTCACCGGTTGTGGATCTCACATCCCGCGCACCACGTGGCCGCCCCACGGAGGTGTTTGCTAGCAGGTATGCCCCATGACACGTGAGACTGTGCTTGTAAACCTGCTGCCTGCTTGCCTTGCAA